GGTACTTAAAGAATCATTTATTTTATGTATTTGTCGAAGTCAGCTTAGGTACTTGTTTCTCCCTCAGGACGATTTTCAGTCCAAATTCTAGTAAAATAATTATGTTGACAATGATATATATTTACAGGGTATTTAATTAAGAAATGGAAAATTATTAAATCTTGTAAATATATAAATTGTACGTCACTAAAACACCATCTGTTGTAAACATTGGCTAAGGAAAACCATCGAAGATAATAACGTCAATCAAAGAGTGATAAGTGTACGCGTTTACTATGAGTTACGTTTCGTTGCGATTTTCGACAGTGTCAGCGTGCACTGTATAGCAGATGCTAGGGTGGTTAGGTTTAAATAATTGGACCATAAAATAATTATTTGGTAAGTTAAAATTTTATCATAAATATTTTTATCGTCGTAACAATATTACTTTACTTTTGTACATTTATTGTAATTAACAAAAATACAAAGAACGAAGTTTAGCAGCGGTTTTTAGTATTGTTTACATATTGTATTTAGATGAGTAGATGATGGATATATTAAATTAATTAGAAAATTAGAGTGGTTATATCAAATAAATAAAAAAAAAATAGAAGTTTAAATATTATTTCTAAACTTATTTACGGAAAGTAAGTCTGTACTCGTATTTGAGAATATTACGCGGTGAAGTATAAAATATTGGTAGAGTTAAAATTTATATAAGAAAAGAGTGCAAAAAGCTGTTATTTTATAATAATGTTTTAAAATACATTACATAAATAAATATACGTTAAAATACACGTACTCGTTTACTTCTAATTTACACACTTATCCGACAAAGTCGGAGTAAACCATGAAATGAAATAAATTTTTCAAACTTATTTACATGAATTATAGATCCATTAACTAGTAGTCGGCCAGTAATGGACTCAATGCCTACCACTAGTTAAATAAAAACATGTTTGCTCATTATGTTTATTAGGCGCTAAAGAGAGGATTCTTTCTTTTTTTTAATTAATATATGTAGATATGTTGTTAAAAGTATATTTTGTTAATATGTTATAATATATAAATGATTGAAGTTTGGTTGCGAATTTTGACAATATCTCGTTTTATTATTATTAGATATTAGACGCCATGACTTTAAATTAGTTGAAAAATATAATAAAAATCAGGTAAAACTTAATAATTTAAATATCCTTCACAATATTTCCCTGTAAACGTTTTATTTGAATCAACATAAATATATTATTTCAATTTAGTTTGCAAGGGCGATTACAGTAGGTCTATATAGATCGCAGTGTTACAGGTCTTAGCACCTGACAATTGCTCAACGAATAAATGAAAATCTTATTAATTTATTTGTTAAAAAAATATTTAATGTTACGTTTATTTATTTATTAGATACTAATAAAAGTATATTGATAACACATTTTATCAGAATATATCTGAAAACAAAAACAATAAACTAATAATCAACATTTAGTTTTTGCGATGGTGTATCGTAACATTAAAAATTCAGAATTTCAATCAGGAGGAGTTTATTATTACAATGCAGATCAATAGCATACAGGATTATATTTCAGTATAGTATACTGAATGAGGAAGAGACATCCATAGACAAGTCTGGACGTCATTCATAAAATCATCAAAATTGGTACAAAAATACAATGATGTGAAGAATTTTTATATTTTTAAATTCCGTTTAGAAATAAAAAGAAATGATATGATGTTTATCGTGTCTGAGAATTGCATAGGAGTATATTGACCGCAATACTCTTTTGTTCAAGTATTTCAAAAGATAACAATTTTCTCACCTGAACGTATTATATACTGTTTTTCTTCAAATGACATATCCACTGTTCGTTAACATTCTTAACATATCTTTTCAGTTGGAAACAAGTTATTCAAAAATAGAACTACAACGGAAATAATTGAAAAAAACATTACTAGTCAGTCAAATAATAGGAAAACTTTGTATACTTCATAGTTTGTTTGTTTACATCACAAAATACATCGTAAAATTTCGTAAAAATATAGAGAAATAGTTTAAAAGAAATATTATATGTGTTATTGGAGTGGGGAAGGATGTATAATTTCTTGATGTTGTAGCTAAGATTATAGCCAGCTCATTTATATCTTGTTATTAATTGATAACATGTAAATAATTAGTATAATAATAATTAAATTGAACCTACACGCTTAGACAAATATTTCAAAAGAATAAATTTGAAGGCCATTTCATAAAATAACAGCATCGTTATTTAAATATTTACTATCAAGACCTCAAAAGAAAAATATACCTGATTGGCTTCCATTTCGAATATATCCACAATTTTAATACTGCACGTGTATTTTACCAAAAATAAAGGTTTTTTACATCACAATGATGGCAAACATGTTTATGGCCCATCACATCAAAGAGGTAAATTTTGAGCTCAATATTTTATATTAATAAACAAAATTGTTGTTGTAATTGCTCTATTTTCAAATGTCATTAAACAAATATATCGTATTATCACTAATTTGTAGAAACATTCAATGATACTTACTTATAGTTTAGTTTTATAAATATATGTATCTATGTAATAAATTATACTGTGTTATCTAGAATAATTTATATTCTCAAATAAATATAAAGTTTGCACAGTACGTCATTTTTGAAGCTACACAGAACGATGAAACTTTTTTATTTGGCTTTTATTGGGTTACAATACTAAATATTTTTTTTGTTATTTGATCAAGGTGAATTTTACTCAGACTAAGTGGCGGATACAGCTAGTCTGAAATAATTTATATTCTAAAATATAAAGTTTGCACAGTAAGTAAATAATTGTATAATACAACTGACATATTTTATCTCTAGAAAATACATTCCAGGAAATATAAGTTCGAAATTTACAATAGAAAACTTAACTTTTAAGCCAGATCTAGTCATTTACGAATCCGCACAATTCTGTTTGTGCATTTCAGTTGTATCCCGAACTTGGAAGCATTATTGCTTTGAAATATAGTTTCTATTTCAGAGCAATAATACTTCCAGTAGGGAGTAGTTGTGAGTAAGTATTTAGTACTCATACAAATACTAGTTTTAATATTTTTAATTTGGTCGTAATAATTCATTTCTCTTTTATCTCATTGGTCATAATTAAACGACAGTAATGCAAGTAAAGCACATGAACAAAAATAACAGGAAACGTAATGAAAATATTCACAAAGTTAGTTGTGTTATCCCTTTCTGTAGTCTATACGGCGATCAACATACAAACAAATAAACAGCCAGTTTTGCCTCGTCACGACATTAGGTACTATAGGTAAAGATCTGAAGACAAATGATTTTGACATAGCATGAAATATGATGAAGTTGTTTACATTTCAGCTTCTCTCATCATACTGCACTCAATGACGTTACGCGTAAAGCGAGGTTTTTAACCCCATTGACGATAAATGTGGATGCAGTTTACGTCCCTACTATATAGTTTAATCATTTGATTACGTAGGTAGACTTTGTATCAATCTCACGTATTTTAGCCGTTAAGCAGTGAATTTACAGGATAGAAGGTCCTCCAGAGTGAGACATAACGTGACATTATAATTGCATAAAAAAATAATGTTCTTATAATTAGTCAATACTGTACTATTTTTAGTAATAGGTTCTCAATTATTGTACTAATGTTAGTCGAATTTCAAACTTACGGTTATTAGTTATGAAGTCCGTTTCATCTTCTGAAGTTACAAACAAGATCGTGTTACTAATATTAGAAACATATTTCAATATTGGACATTATCGAACAATTGTTTTATTTCTTTGTCTTATTTTGTAACACAATATAAATGTAAGGAAAATTCTTCAAGTAAAATGTTCATAATTTCACGGTTATCAAGTCGTTTAACTAGTACAATACAAAGGAAAATTTACAAAGAACATTGTTATACCAACTGGGTAGGATATAATAATCATATATATATATCGAAGTATAATAACCATACCGTTAAAAATAACGTTTAATGCGGGTATATACAATGGTGACAGTGGCTTAGTGGTGGAAAATTGACAACAGTTGACCATTCGCATGCCTACAGTGAACATTGTTAAATACTTGTATTATATAAGCGGAATTATAAGTAATTTGTACTAGTTATGTATTAGACTTGGTAGTGTAAGGGTTTAGCACACCGCCTTACTTCGGATGGTCGTAGATTCGATTCCGTGCGCAATATAAACATTTGTATTCCTAAGTATGATAGTTTACACTAGTCTTGGTGTTTTCTACGTGTATTATATATGTATTAAAACGGTATTCGGATATTTTTATTAGTTTGTTTAGTATCCCAAGCACAAGCTCTGCCAAATTCAGGATTAAATGGAGGTCTGCTATTTAATAGAGGTAGATTTTTGGATTATCAGTGAACATTTAGGGACCATTTTTAATTATATAGTTAAAATAACATATATTTAGTATATTATGTCATAGTAGGAGAATATTGTTTATTCAATGATTCAATATAAGAGAACCAGAAGTGTAATAAGTATTTCTGAATTGCCCTAAAATAATGATAGAATTACTCAGCCTTAGTGACATAAAATAGTTGAAAAAATATACTTTTTTTAAAATGAACATGTGCAATTATGTAACTATCTTTAATTTCAGTTAAAATAGTAGCTCTAATTTTGTAATCATCACGATTAAAGTTTAAATTATTAGTAGTTTGTATGGATTTAAATTTTAATTAAAAGAGATACCTATAACTGGCATTTCGCTATTTAGTTTATATTTTATGTTATTATATTCTTTTATAGTAAACAATTGCCAATTTATAGCAGTTCAATATTTATTTAAACGACCTTGTATAGTCAATGCGGTAGTGCGATCTCAATGAAAATTACGTGCGACACCATTTTCCTTATTAAACACTGAATCGAATTGTCATTTAAGTTTAAGAGTACGGGGTGAGGCATTAGTTATCACTTCAGAAACGAATGCTGTGTGAGACGGATGGTGTTTTAATTGTTATATTTTCTTTATAGGTTACCCTTCCAAAATGTTGACAGGATGGAGGCTCAAATTATCCAAATGTAAGTCCATACATAATTAATAATATTATCAATATTTATATGTATAATTATGCTGAAGTGTAACAAACTTTTAAAGAAATTTAGAATCATTATCTCCTTATGTTATTCCAGTTATAGAGCAAATAAATAAATAAAGGCTTCTAATTAAAATGCACATATAATTCAATAATATTAAGTTGAGTATCATTTTCAATAATTTAAATATAAGTAAAGTTATATCGTTTAAAAATTGAAATATTCAAATTATGGGAAATCATGTATTACAAATAATATGTCATGGTAAGTTTACAATATATTTGAGGTGCAGTTTGAATAATTAGCATTAATCTTATAAATAGCACAGTATTAATATAAAACAGCCTAGTTAAACTAAAATAAGTCATCGGTATTTTATTACATGTATATTGAATTTAATTTTGCCAATATCTTATGAATTTTAATACCAACATATTAAGTACTTAGTTTATTAATATTTTTTATTATTTGCCATGTATATTTTGTGGTCGGCTGGGCCACCTGGGGGCTCAAAATTTATATTCAACATTAAAACTATTAATGCTCAGCCAATTTCTATAAGTTGTATACTGAAGTGTGATACAATGATATAATTTATAATCTAATCTTTGGCTAAGACAGTATATTTGAAAATGTTAATAACATAGTATATGTCTATAAAATATATTCAATATTTTGATATTGTTTCAGTATTTATAATACCTCAGCGGTATGTGATGGCAATAATGGCACTGTTCGCCGTAGCAAACGCTTACACCATGAGGGTATGTCTCAATCTGGCTATCACACAGATGGTAAAGAAGAGTACGAATGTCGAAGGCGAAGAGCATTACGACCCAAATGTATGTATGGATGCAAGTCTGGTCAGGAACTATACCAACACCTACTACAGGGATGACGATGTAAGTAGAGCTTTTAATTGGCTAAACGTAACTTAAACAATTATCATATCAATATACATATGGTCTAAACATGATTTTTGTATGTGATATTCGCTTATTCACAAGTATTATTGTTTGTATTGAGCTATGCATTTCCTAATTAAATTATTAATTCATTCAAATAGGTACTTTTATCAGTTTTTAAGTGTCTAGGTAGGCTTTATATAAAATCGTCTACGTAGGTACTACGTGGGTCACCTACTTCAGCAATTCATTTTATATTAATTATTTGATTAACCTCTATTAAAACATCATATAAGGAAGTGAAATGGTTGTGTACTGTGGTAAGATATTTTTTAGTTCTTCGGAATGGTAACGCATGATGTGACATGCTGTGTAGTGCTGTGTAGTGCTGTTTATGCATATACGCGACGCGCCGGTTACTACTTACTGTATGTTCGGTACCTTAGATTGTTTACCATTCTAGTTATATAAAAAATAGCTAGGTAGTGCCTTTGTGATAAAGTCTGTAGTGCTTATCATGCATATTCGCGACGCCGATTCCCACGTACTGTATATGGAGTACCTTTGATTGTTTACCATTCTAGTTGCATAAAAATGAAACTGGTGGTGCGTTTCTGATAAAGTCTGTAGTGCTTATCATGAATATTCGCGAAGCCGATACCCACGTACTGTATATGGGGTATCTTTGATTGTTTACCATTCTAGTTGCATAAAAATGAAACTGGTAGTGCCTTTGTGATAAAGTCCGTAGTTCTGCTCATACATATTTGCAACGCTGGTTGGTTGGTTATTGTATGTTGGAGCCTTTGCTTATTTACCATTCTAGTTGCATAAAAATGAAACTGGTAGTGCCTTTGTGATAAATAGGTATTTATAATAGGCCACTTGTAAATAATGTTAAGTTCTAGTCAAATATGCCTCTTGAAGTTTCAGATAACGATGTAAGAACTACATTCAAAACTCAATAATATTTCTTTGTGATTTGTTTCGCACCAAATCTCTTAATAACATTGACCTTGAGGAGTGTGTGTATATTGTATTATTGTCGTATATTTTTTATATGATATGGAATGGCAAACAAGATCCTATCTAATGAAAAGTTACAAATATCGACGTCAAATACTATATGTGTTGCCCGTCGTACCTTCACAGGTTTTAAAGATGCTTGGTCGTACATACTCAATGGTAGTACAAAGAATAACATTTTTTTATGGTATTGGAATGTTAAACATGTTTTCGACATACCTAATCGATGGTAAGTGATAACATAAATAGCACCACGGAGATTGCGTCATAGTGTGACGATAGTGGTCCCTCTCATCCGTTACCTTTCCGTAGGACTTAGTACAAAGTTTATATTGATAAAAGTATAAACATTTTTATAATAAAAATAATAAAGGTTCGCAATAATTATTTATAATCAAAATGTGGTTAATATTATAATATTACTATAATTTATGGCAATGTAACGGCAACACAGTGCTAAGGACCTCTCATCTGTAAAATCCCCTTAAGAAGCCATTCCTGTTAGTAAGATATTCTGATTGTTGCGTTTTTACAACGTGAACAAATGGTAACAATTTACTTATCATCTTTCAAACCAGAATACAGTATGCTAGTGTGAGGAAATAACTTGTGTGTTATATTGTTTTTATATAATTAGAATGCAAATGAAATTAAAGAATAGGAGGTATGACATATTAATTCTTCGAAATAGCAATGCATAAGTGGTATTACAGGATAACATGATACTGTTCCGTATTGTTGTTCAAGTATATAGGCGATGGTTAACACTCACCATCAGTAGAGCTATTAATTAATTAGCAAAGAAACTTAACTCCACTTAATGGTAAGTGGTAACCATAGTCTAGAAGAATAGCGATAAGTACAGAGATAGATATACTTATGTTGTTACGTAACATACAACTTTCTTTCTTCTGAAAAATATTTGGTAAACATTTTTCAATATTGGTATATCAGAACCAGTCAAACTATACTTTTAAATTTCGCTGTAGTGTGAACAACTTATACCTAGTTTCGACGAGAAATCGATATTCTAAATAAAACTGAAAATGTATTTAATTGAAACATTTTAATTAATATTTAGGCACCCACATTTTCAGAGTGTCCGCAAGCTGTGCCCGCAATTTCGTTTACGTGAAATTGGACTGTAAATTATTCCATGGCAACTAATTATCGGGATTTATTTTTATTCTACTGAAATTGGCAAATGAAGTCAGTAAATATGGGCAACAGCTTGGGTTTTAAATTTACTATTTCTCCTCCGGTATCCTCATGCTTAGTACCTTTGAGAGTTGAACGCTAACTTCTTTTAGTTTTAGTCAGTTTGCCGTAAGTAGTTACACCTATTTTTGGCAGTTACAAAAATATATAAAACGATGTCCGAAAGATTGCGGTATTAAAATATCCCAATTAATTCTTTGTTACCACATTAATACTATTATATGATCTCTCTCATAGCATAATTCCTGCTCACTATATTTACTTAAAAATATTGCTAGATAATTTTATGCCTTTACTTTTCAGACCGTCTTTTTTGAGTGGAGTGAGGCTACACAGGGTTTGATACTGGGATCTTTTTACTACGGCTATGTTTTGACACATTTACCAGGAGGAATGTTGGCGGAACGTTTTGGAGGAAAGTGGGTGTTGGGTCTTGGACTTTTATCGACTGCAATATGTACCATTATTACACCAGTAACTGTCAAAGTTGGAGGTGCAACAGCCTTATTTATATTGCGGGTTATTGAAGGTTTGGGAGAGGTGAGTTAATTTTTATTTAAATAAAATTATTGTTTACATTGAAGGACGTGTGTTTAGATATAAAAGAATAAACTCTATTTTGGAGTAAACATTTACCTCCCACTATAATTATAATATGATAGTAGGATAGACTTTTATGGGATTTTATTTTTCCCTTTTGCATATTTCTTTATTTGTAGTTTTAGTTTCTAAGCAAGTAAAGTAGAAATATTCTTCACAACTATGGTCAAAAGTGTTACTGTTTATACCTTTACTGATATGACAAAAAATATTTATAATAGTATTAAAACTGATTATAATATTAAAACGATCATGAGTTCTAGGGGCGATATTTTTTCTGGTAACTTAATGACATATTATCTATATCCTAACATGTCGTCTGCTTTTTTGAGATAAGAATTACTTATAGCTGTTCTGGAGATACACACTATATACTACGTCAAATTTCCTTTAGATTCGTTCCAAACAGAAAATTCACGTTTATAATACTAGATTGAGTATGAAAGTTTGGATTAAAAATAATTATAATCTATTTTATTTTAGGGTCCTACTATGCCAGGTCTAATGGCTGTGCTTTCACGTTGGGCCCCAAAAGAAGAGCGTGCACGTTTCGGAGCTATTGTATTCGGGGGAGCCCAAATAGGAAATATAGCGGGTTCCTATTTTTCTGGATTGGTCATGCATAATGGAAGTTGGGAGGACGTGTTTTACTTATTCGGAGGAATTGGACTGATTTGGTTTGTTCTTTGGGTATGTATTTCAGTTTATTAATTTTGTGTAATAAATACTTCTTGAATTAAAATTTCTGAGGAAGGTCCTGATTTATGTAATAACCCACTATTTTCAGAATAATTAAGGATTAACTAGTCTAAGAATAAATTCCTTAGTCTGATTTAAGGCTGAGTTAAGGTTATAGTAACCTAATTCTTAATGGTCATCATACAAGTGTTAAATTTTGCAGTTGTAATATGACATAGGAAAATTGCAAAACACTAAACATTAATGAATCAGGCATTTCTTTCAACACATAATTAAGAGAATTGATTAAAATAATACAAGGTTTGACATTTTTATTGAAATTATTGTATTTTTCTAGACCATGTTATGCTACAGTACACCGAATACACATCCTTTTATATCGGATAGTGAGAAGCAATTTCTGAACGAAAACGTAGATGCATTGAAGCATACTAAGGCACAAAAAATGGACCCCACTCCATGGAAAGCTCTGCTACGTTCTGTACCGCTATGGGCTCTTATTGTAGCTGGGGTAAGTGCAATTAAGTTAATTCTTAAGTGTGTTTTTATTATTTTAATTAATTTAAAAAATTAATAATGATCAAAAATTTATTAAGACTGTAAAATGAATTTAGTAGCCAAAAGAATGAGCACGACAAACTCACACGGCACGCGCCGTGTGAGTATGTCGTGCTCATTCCACTTAAAAAATAGTTGCTATCGTCTTTCAACTCACTGTATTGCCCGATCCATCGGCAGTATTATTTTTTTCACATGAATTATCTTTCCTTTCGCTATTTTCTTCAACAACCATCGCATTCACATATTAAACAAACTTTAACCTTGCTTAAACTTTAAGATTACGCCATCAAATTAATAAATATATTATTTTATAATTCAATTTTTAGAGATTAGTTTACTAATTAACAAAGTCTTCGGCTTTACATATATATTAGTGTAAATGTAATTGTTAAAATCTGTGTTTTCTTCTATGTTGTATTGCACAATTACCTAACAATTCTTGATTCATCAGATTCAAATTTCTAAACTATATCCAAACTACCTAGCATGCCGTATGTTAATACATTGCAACCTAGTTTAAAATATTTGCTTGTTTATTAGATTGGTCACGACTGGGGATACTTCACAATGGTTACAGATTTGCCAAAATACATGACAGACGTCTTGAAATTCAATATCAAATCAACGGGTATTCTTTCGGCCATTCCTTATATAGCCATGTGGATATCTTCGTTCTTTTTTGGACTTTTATGCGATTTTTGCGTCAAAAGAGGATGGCACAACATTACGAATGCTAGGAAAATTTATACAACTATTGGTAAGTATATATACATACATAAAAGAATTTAAAGTGCTTTTGGTAATTGATTTCAAATTTTTTTTTGTGTTACGTATAAAAATATATATATATATAGACATATAGTATAAAAATCATTAGATAAAACCTCCGGCCAAATCAAATTGACTGGATAGGATAAGGATGAAGATAGCCCGTTGTAGCCAATTCACAAGAAATTAACCAAATTGGAATTGAAAAAAACCAAAAATCTCCTAAATCTTGTCAGTATAGCCCTAATGGAAATAACAATAAGTCAATCACATCGGTTTTGACTGAGTCAATCACTCCTTGTTCTAGTTTACTCAATTCTAACTTGTCTTTAAAAACTGATAATTGTAATGTTGCACCAGTACGAAGGACAATTATTTATTCAGATGAATATGGTAAGGGTCTGGGCCGTTCATTATCAGAAAGTCTATATCAACATGTCATAAATAATTGTCTTCCTGGTGCTTCATTGCCTAATATTTTAAATAAGGTGGTTAATGGTAGGTATGATAAGTTAACCACATTAGTCATTGCTTTAGGCAACTGTTTATATGTAAAAAAAAGTCATGTAATTAAACTTGTAAACTCTTTGCTTAATATTGCTGAGCTGGGCATAGGTAAAATAATATTATGTGCATTTCCTTACTGTCGTTCTCTGACCATTGAACAAAATAAGTTCATATATTATATTAATAATTTAATTTATAATATGACATGTCGTCATAATGACTTTTTATTTTTTGATAGTAACAAATTTGTTACAAACTTTTGTATGACTGGAGATAGATTTTATCTGCCTAAAAAACAAATAACAAATATAGCTAGTTTACTAGCTTATAATATAAATGACCCCATTATAAGTAATATAATGGGTTGCATTAATCCAATTAGTAGTACTTGTACTAATGTTAATACTAAACTTACTGAAAATATTGACATAAATATTGATTCTAGTAAGAATCCTTTTATTTACAAAAATTTAAATATGACTGCAGATTTAAACTGCTGAAAAAGACAAAGGGAAAGCTATCAGAATTGAAAATTGTTCACCAGAACATACAAAGTTTTCTCGGCTGTGAATTAATTATTCAATTGTTCTTAGAAAAAAATAATATAGATGTTCTATGTTTAACTGAACATTGGCTCAAAGTGAGCAATATGATGTTCAGCTTAAACAATTATAATATTGTCAGCTGCTTTAATAGAAAAATAGTAAATAGAGGAGGTTCTATGATATTGGTGAAAAATAATATAAAAGTAAAAGAACGTAGTGATATTGGCAATCTTTCTGTTGAATGTTGTATTGAAATTTCCTGTGTGGAACTAGACAATTATATAGTTATATGTGTATATAGACCTCCAAATAGTGATTATAATTTATTTGAAGAGGTAATGGAGGATATTTTAAAAAGAGTATTTAATATTAACAAAAAAATTATAGTGTGTGGTGATTTCAATGTTGACATTTTATCACATAATACCACAAAAACTAAATTAATGAGTTTATTTCAATCTTTTGACTTGAGTAATGTCTTCCACGAACCCACTCGTATCACTGCCACGTCTGCTACTTGCTTGGATAACATATTTAGCAACAGTGAGTATTTAGATAAAATAATAATAAACAACCTTCCTTCTGATCACTGTGGTCAAATAGTTATTTTTCCAAATCACTTAAACAAAATTGGGAAAATTAATTTATTAAAAAGAGACTTGACTAGTTATAAGATAAATAAATTTAAAATATCAGTTCGTAGTAAATTAGATTTTTATCTTCCATCTAATGAACCTAACAAACTTTATACAGATTTCTTCAATATTGTTTCTAACGAATATAATAAGGCTTTTAACAAAAAAACTATAAGTATTATTAACAAAACAAAATTTTCAGAATGGGCTACAAAGGGAATTCTTAAAAGTAGAAATATATTATTTGATTTATATGCTCAAAAAAAATACCGTTTCGATAGTACATTCGTAAATTATGTAAAAAGACACTCAAAAACTTTTAAAAAGGTATGTAATGTAGCAAAGTCTAATTATCTAAATAAAAAAATTAAAGAGTCCAAGGATAAGATAAGGACAGTGTGGAATATTATTAACAAAGAAACTGGCAAAGTTAAAAGTCCATATAACGATTTTACGTTAAATTATAATGATAAACTAGTAACGTCCACAAAAGAAATAGTCAATATTTTTGAAAATTTTTTCGCTAATATTCCAACTGATATTACTTCCTCTTTGGACTCTTCTCCTAGTACAGCTAAATCATTCCTTATTGACAATGTTGTTTCTTGTCCGGTTACATTTAAATTTACATTTATTGACATTGCTACAATTACTAAAACATTTAAACAATTAAATTTAAAAAATACTGAAGACCATTGGGGCATGTCTGTTAAAGTTATTAACACCGCTATAGATGTTATTGCTCCATATTTAGTAATTATTTTCAATAAATGTATTTCTGATGGTGTTTTTCCCAATTTAATGAAACATAGCAAAATAACTCCACTCTTTAAGTCAGAAGAAAAAACTGTGGTAGGTAATTATAGGCCTATATCTATCTTACCAGTATTGAGTAAAGTGTTTGAAAAAATTATGCTCAATCAAATGCTACAACACTTTAAAGTAAATAAACTGCAATTTCAACAACACCAGAATGAAGATGTTTCGACAATTTGGTTTCACGTCACTTTTACAAGTTTTACATATAACTATTTCAGAGATTGCAGCAAATACAGAAACAAATCAAAACAATATGCTGATGAACATTCATGTTCATGTTATTTTTAAGTTTTTTGGCCGAAGCTGATGTAAATGTATCATTTTGGTGGGTAAAACGGTTTCCACTAAACTTTCTTTTTTTACTACGATCCAGGATGAAATTTCCACTCTTACTTCCTTTCCGTCCACTCATTATGAAAAAAAATAATTTGTAGCTGTTGTTCTCTTCGAAGTTCAACCTCATTAAATATATATTTGATTCTTGGGAGAGGTCTCAGGATGCAGTCGGTGTATTTTGTGATCTTTCAAAATCATTTGATTGCGTTTAACATGAAACACTTTTGCTCAAACTTGAACATTACGGTATTATATATGAAGCACAAAACATGATGAAATCCTATCTAAATAATAGAATGCAAGTTGTCGAAATAAATGGTGTAAAGTCTGAGGGAACTAGTATTAAAATGGGTGTTCCTCAGGGCTCTATTTTAGGTCCTTTCTTATTTTTAGTTTACATAAATGATCTTCCTTATATGGTAGAAAAGATAGCTGACATAGTTCTGTTTGCTGATGATACTTCATTAGTATTCAAAGTCAATCGACATATTGATGATTTGGACGAAGTAAACGGTGCTCTTTCTTATGTTTTAAAATGGTTTACGGCTAATAATATGTTACTAAATGCAAATAAAACTAAATGTATCAAATTTACTCTCCCCAATGTAAGGCCGGTAGATTCAAAAATCACGTTGGACAATAAACCTATTAATTTTGTGGATGATACTGTATTTCTAGGTATCACATTAGATTCCAAGTTGCAATGGGGCGCTCATATTACTAAATTAGCGAGTCGACTTAGTTCCGCCGCTTATGCGGTAAGAAGAATTAAGCAATTAACAGACGTGGCAACGGCTAAACTTGTGTACTTTAGCTATTTCCATAGCATTATGTCGTATGGTATTTTGTTATGGGGCAAAGCAGCTGATATAAATACAATATTTATTTTACAAAAGAGGGCCATTCGCTCCATTTATAGCATGGGTTCCAGGGAGTCTTTGCGAGAGTGCTTTAAGGAATCAAATATCCTCACCGTTGCTTCTCAATATATTTATGAAAATATCATGTATGCCAGGAAGAATATAGACAGTTTCAAAAGAGTTAGTGATTGCACTAATAAAAGCTTACGTAACAATAACAAACTGATTTTACCTAAATGTCGTTTGGCTAAAGTTAGTAATTCGTTTTATGGCAATTGCGTAAGGTTTTACAATAAAATACCAGAGTATGTTATAAATCTGCCAGAAAAAAGATTTAAATGTCAAATAAAACAGTTCCTTTGCAAAAAAGCTTACTATAAAATTGAAGAATTCGTTAACGATAATAATGTTTTTGTAGAAAAAATTTTAAATACATAGCACTGACAATATTATCTGATTACACTAATAATGAGTGCGTAGCGATTTCTATGTTGATTGTCGCATGCCTCTTACTTGTTACACTGTAATTATTTATATAAAAAAAAAACATCTATTGAAAAGAGCAACACACAAGTTTCTTGCTCATTCTTCTTGTGATGAATCTGCATTCCGAATGAGTGGTAGAATCAAAATATGACTATTCAAAAGTGCTTGTAATGAGTTTATTTGAATAAAGATTATTTCTATTTCTATTTCTATTTCTGGTATCTAGGGGCACAGGGTAGAAGTCTAATTGCCATTTCCTGCAGGGGGCGACTGCCTGAGTACTAATGCTCTGCTCCCAAATAATGACATCTAACTTCCTGCACAATTTTATTTATATAATAAAACATCTTGTATAAGGGTATTATTATATAGCATTAGTAACCACCGTGAACAGAAAAAAATAGTTGATTTTACTAGACCACACTTATTTTATTAAATATAGATTATGTAATAGAATACAAGAACATTATTTTTTTTTTGTTTAAGCCGCTAGCGGACCTGGCATATGCATAATTTTAGCGTCATATTCGGGTTGCGATACCACCCTTGCTGTATTTTGGTTTGTGGCTGCCATGACTGTTATGGGTGCCTACTACAGTGGCATGAAGATCAATCCTTTAGACATCAGTCCCAACTACGCTGGTACCACCACAGCGATGGTGAATGGTATTGCTGCTATATCGGGAATTATATCGCCATATCTTATTGGGTTATTGACTCCAGATGTAAGTATATTTTTTTTATTGTATGATATCGTAATTACATAAATTGATTCATAATATATGAGAAATAGAAAATTGGTTCGTAATATATGAGAATGGCCTTTAGTTACGGTTAAGTTTTCAAATAAATTCCTTAATATGTTGTATTATTTTCTTAAATGATAATGAAATTTCATTTAAATATAAATTATAATTAAGGCAGGTGTTGCTTAGCAAAAATAATGAATATAATAAATATTGATTCAGGTGTTAGAAAACAATACTTAATTAAGATGTCTTTTCTTCTAAAAATAAGATGTCACGAGCCAGTAAATTATTCTAAATACTCGTAATTTATAGATACAATACTATAATTAGCAACTGATTTAGAAAATGTACATATATGTATTTTGTACTTATAGAAAACTAGCGACTTCGCACGCCTGTATTGCGAATCTTTTAATTACTCGGCTTTTATTCACTATAATATGCATGTATATAAACCTTCTTCTTTAATTACTCTATATCTATTGCTGAAGACTATATTCAAATATGTTGAGTAATTGAAAAGATAGAGGCGTATATATTGCGGGGGCGTATTATTATTCTATGCAAAAAGAAAGTTTTTCTAATAATAATAAAATATTGTTCACAGTCTACTCTGGCACAATGGCGAGTTGCGTTTTGGGTCTGTTTCGGTGTACTAGTATTTACAAACATAGTATACGTCATCTTCGCCCAAGGTGAACAGCAATGGTGGGACGACGTTAAGAAATATGGATACCCCTCCGATTGGAAGCACGGCCCTCTACCCACGAAAGCTATCGATAAAGAACAAAACAATGAAGACGTTAAAGAGAAAAAGTGATCTTTAGTATTATATTAGACATTTTGTAATTTATCTGTGAGATTAATTTATGGACTGAGACTGGAAACTAAGTGCTAAGAAATTAAGTAACATAATGTCATGACTATATATTATAGTCACTGGTTATATGTGCCTTCCTGAATATTTAGCTAGATGTATAGCTAGTATATTTTTGTATGAATGTTTCAGAGAAAAATATATTGTAGAGTTAACACCTATATTTATATTGTACCTGTTATAGTATTAGGTAAATATTTATTATAGTAATAGTCGTAATAGTTTCTCTGTGAAGATAATTTGTAATTTTTATCGAAACTGTCATCTAATAATCATTAGATGACTGTTTCGATATATAAACTATTATAATAATAAACTATTTTATTTTGTACTATATATACATTGATTTTACAACAATAAAAAAGTTTGTAAGATGTAAATAAGTTTTTGTTTTATTAATATCATCGTATGCTATTCAAAAAAAAAATACATATGTATTTAAATAAATGTTGCGTCAGTAGCCATTGATAATTTTAATTTTAATTTTAAAATGAAATAAGCTAGTTTAAAAAAATATAATAAAAAAAATGTATTGTACATACGTATATATACATGCATGTAGTGAAAAAATATACTGCCTGATAAGACGATTTTGTACAATGGTAGCGTCTTATCTAGTCATGTTTTTCCACCTGATATTAGGTACCTACCTGTTTCAATGTTCTTTGGATTGAGAGGGCTTTATGTACATTAAATTTATTAGGTACATGTGTTGGAATAGTAGTAAGTAAATAGAAAAGATATAAAGAATACTCCTATTTCTATGCCTTCATTATATTTTGGAAAAAAAGATGTGTATGAAAACGGAGAAATTTATACTCAATACTGTCAAATTATTCTCTTAACAAATAGTCTACAATAGCTATCAATAAAGAAGTAAGGCGTGAATACGCTACCTCTAAAAACTCTTAACAGCATCTATTTGATCAAATTAAATATTTCTAGTCGCGGTTATTTAGGGCTGCCACTATTTTATTTTGTACTCCATATATCGATTTCATAATTCTTCTTGTCCCTAACTACATCTATATCAGCAGCTAAATAGTTTGCGTAACATGTCATGTCTTAAAGAATTTACTTGAAATGAACATGTATAAAATGTAAACATTTAGAATCGTACGTATACTTTCTGCCATTGCAAGTGTGTATAGACCATTATATGAGAATCGAATTAGGTTTTTAAATTTTTTTCCATCTTAATTTATTGTCAATATAAATAAATAAAAAGAATGTGTTACAATTAATGTTTATTGTAGTAGTTAATTTTGTAACATGAAGGGAGTGGTTGGTGTTCGAAAAATAAAGCCTCAAATACAAATGAAGTTTTATTTTGAAAATCTTAAACTCTAATAAAGTAGAAAAAGGACAACTAAAAAAAAGATATATGTATTGTGTTAAGTCTGACTTTTATAAAATAAGTGAGCACAGTTATAGTAGTAGCCTATAGGGATCAGTGAAAAAAATTACATGTTTTACAAATTTAAAATAATACTATGAAAGCTAAGCAATAACGACAGAGTACGCGGGTGGTCTGAAAAGTTTTCGACCTATCAGTGATACAACAATTTTTTTCTTTAACGTTCTACATATGCTCCTTGTAACTCTACCCGCTTCTCTCAGCGTTGTGCCCATCTCTCTAATCCATCCAAATAGTACTCAGCGTTTTTCTGTGCAAAACAATTGTCCACAAAGGTGATTGCTTCCTCGTTTGATAAAAATCTCTGTCCTCCATGCTCAGTTTTCAAGTGAGGGAAGAAAAAGAAGTCGCTTGAGGCTAGATTTGGTGAGTCAGGAAAACAGTTCAAACCGTAATTTGTGGATTATACGTGGTTCGTAATTTGCTTCACAAAGGAAGAAAATTGATGACTGATATGGGTTTTTTGTTGAAGCATGGGATATCATTATACAAGAGAGCATAAATAGCATCATCATGGATACTGTCAGGATATGACAACAGGCTACTGTTCAAGTTTATAGACGGTGGTTGCTATTTTCCATCAAGTGGACTGTTCATTTGTTTATTTTCCATAAAATACTGTTAATATCTCTTTTGTACTTATTTGTAATGTTTAATAATTACACGTTTTATATACAAGTATTTACATTGTTGTTGTTAATAAAACTTCCTTGTTTTCTATGTTTCATAGTAAGATCTCAATTTATCATTTATATTCACAGCCTCTGTTTTCATTATTATCATTATTTCTTTGTCACAAAGATGACATATATTTGTATCAATTTTTATATGTATTTCTGTCTAATCTGTTTCTTACTCTAATTTTCATCATTTACTACGTGAACTTCTAAAAATCTTTGCTGCTGACATGATTTATTTCCGTGTATAAGTATGTATGTATAAAATTATGCAGAATGCAATTCTTTAGATAAGATATGGTGAATTAGAATTGTGGGGCGATATATTAGATAGATTAGATTAGCCGAGTTTTTTCTAGAGACTAGGTACAAAATTAGGTAAATATTGCTACAATAGCATATTTAAATATTCTAAAAGTTGGCAAAGCGTATATATCCATTGATGTTTCAGACTCTATATGCTATGGTAATTAAAATTAGAACATTAACAATAACAAATATAACTTTAAGTACAGAATTTCTTGAATCTGTTTATAAATTGAAATCTGAAGTGATTTATATAAATTTTCATATAATATAATACACAATTGTTCAGTATGTAGATTGTTACCTAAAAGTTGTATCCTAAACGAATGGACCGATTTAAATGATATTTTCATCATGCGTATATATGTTAATGGTTTCCTAAGTGGTCTAATGTATGTTGAATGTATTTTGGCGCCGTTTTTTAAAGTAGGAGAATGTCTGCTTGGTCCGCTAGTATTATTATGATATTACACCTCTGATCTTGTACCCAGATCAATTTACAAATATCAATTCTTATAGTTTAAAGCAAAAAAGTTGTACATGCCACAATCTGTTTAGTTTTCACAATACAGTGACTTATCATGAAAAATGTAAGAATTATCGTTCATATAGATGAATGTAGATATTATAGAGATATAGGTATAGAGCATGCATCATTATTTGAGTCATTATTATACTAAAGTATACGCGCATTGTGAAAGAATTTCCAAGAGCAAATATAGTTTAAAAATTCCTAACACATATGGCAATGGCTTAAATAATACCCTGAATAAAGTGTGATCAAAATATAAATAAATATATTAGAGTATAACTATGTTTTTATCTAACAAGATAACGGTTTACCTAATGGTAAATGGTAACCTTCGCCTATATACATGAACAGCACTATGAACATAACTATCATATGATGCAACGCCTGCGAAGCATTACTATTCCGGAGGACAAAGACTAATTTCACGTTATGTACATCAAAAATACCTGTTTCTTATTTTTTATTCTATTAAAAATGAGAAAACACGAATGATCAGATCATAGAATATAAGTCCAGTTCGACTCATACTTTACCTGTCATTATTATGTTATGAAAACCGATTATCCCCAGCGTAGGATCACCTGTATTAAAAATGGTAATGAAGGTTTTTGTATTGTTTATTATGTGATTAAGCTAATATCTGTCGTTATATCAAGACCAACATGTCAAATAATGTTTTAGTATTCACTGAAGTACACGTATAAGATCACAATATTAAACTGTAATATGTATTTATTTTTTATGTAACAAATGTAATTTACTTTACTAGATTAGTCTTAAATAAAGTAAAAAACATAGTACATAATATCGATTTTATTATATATAGTTAATAATGATTTTTACTATAATACAGTATTTCAGATTATAACAAAATATTACATTGTAAAATTTTATAACAGAAGAAAATATATTTTCATTGTTATACAATTATGTATATTTAATTTAAAGTGTCATTAGATTATTCTTCAATAAATGTAGACAAGTGAAAAACAATAGTGAAGTGTGTGTTACAGTATATTAGAATAATATAGGTACTGTAACAAAGGTAAGTAGATGAATTATTCGTCTGTAAAACATAATAATTATTACTTCAAAGTCAGTTGAATAGGAAGGATCAAATAGCATAGTAGGATATTTGAATAAAATGTTATGATATGTCTGTTTAAACGTGTGGAAGTCAAACTTAAAAAAGACTGTAAGCGTTAACCTTATAAAAGACTGTTTTAAAAGATAAACAACTATATAACCTTGATGCTCTATTTTCTTTATGTATTTGTATTTATATTTTTTAAAGCTTTTCTATTTATGTAAGAGGAAACATACTGTTTTCTATATCTTTTTTATTTAATGTAATTCAGTAACTGTTTCTCTTATTTTATTCCCCTATTTAAATTACACATACACATATGACATATTATCATTTATAATATGTCACAATTCAAGTTAAATTCTTATATTGAATATTTATTTCGAAACTCAAAACATGGCTTTGTTTCATTACACAAATTCTGTAAATGGTATATGAACATACCATAAGCAAATTATGATTATAATGACTACTATATTTTATCTAGACTCTTTCATTACATTTAAAGCGGTTTACCACGGAGAATTTCAAATATTATCTTTATGTAAGAATTTATTTAGAGTACTCTCAGATCTGTCACAGATAAGCACATGTTACCCATTTCATATATTGCACTCTATATAATATTTTACTACAGAGTACAACTTAAAATAATATTTTGATGTATTTGTGAATTTCAGGATACAAATGTATTTAATTTACAATTCTAAGTGACTATATATAAAAATAAAGTAGACAATGACGCTTAAAGGTTGGAGACTTATATTAAACAGAGGTGAGTTTAAAATACTTTTAAAATGTTTCATTTACATTGTGTATTTTTATATTCACGAATTCATAATTCTTTATGCAATTTTTCTGCCAATCGAAAAGCTAAGGTTATGTGATCAATTTGCAAACTACATTAACTGACATATTGCTTAGTCAGTAAGTAGTTTTTGAGTCAATCCAGATTATTATTAAGCTCATGTACAAGAGGAGTATTTATATAAAAAACATAACTTTGCATTATTTACATATATACTAGAAATAATCTATTCCTGATTTTCGCTTCTTTTATCCTTAAATTATACAAAAAGAATAGACAATATTAAGTTCAACAATGGTACAAATTATTAGATTTGTCTGGTTTGTTTTTCCATATAGAATATGATGATATGAAACATCAGACAATCTGTAACTGCATACTACAATATAATAATAAATATTTTTATGTTATTATTATTTATAGTGTCACTGTAATCTAAACAGCTGTAAAGTTATGTATACGTAACTATTTTATATTCTGAAATTGACAAGAATCTAGTGGTTATCTTTAACATATATATGTCTAAGCAATTGATGGGATGTTACAGATAATAGTATCAAAACATTATTATAGTTTGGTTTCAAAGTACTTGCCTACTTTTAATACAATGGTAACTTTTAATACAATGGCTCCCGGTCTACTACTTTTTCCCATCTAGATTCGTATGCATATATTAAGCTAATAATATTACTTTCTGTTTTATGAATTTAGGTATTTTTTTAATTTACCAATAACAGTATAACATTATCGCTACATAAAATTTATTGTACCTGTACTATCATTAGTTTGAAGCCACCATATTTTACTTAAGTCTGTGTAAATGATGTATGTGTATAAATAAAATTATGCACAATCATTTCCTAAGTTACAATTAGGTTGAATATCAGTATCAGAAATAAAGATCTATTATTTTTGATACGGATATTCAACTTCATTGTAATTTAGGAAATGATTGTGCATAATATTCAAAACAATGATATTTTATATCGTCATTATTATAATTTTAGTATCATTATTTTCTCATGAATTCACTGCTTCACACAGGTTGCTTGATTGCCGCAAAGTACGGTTGTAAGCTACAAACTCATAAGTGACAGTCTATGTAGACTTATGTTTAGCCATGTATGTATCTACATATACATATATGCAATATAAGAGTACATTACGTATCATGAATTTCAAACAGCCATAAATTTTCTCTTACTAAACTCGTATATTTCTTTTCAAGTCTGCCCAATAATAATAAATATAAGAAAACGGCATCTAACGAATCGTTATAATTTATTTAATTATAATATTAAATTATACCATCTTATCCTCTATGGTCGCTGGTTTAATTCCTTGTACTGTAAAAACATTTGTATTCATGACTATGATTGTTTATATTGGTATTGGTGTTTTCTATATATATATTATTATGTATATATTTGCAAAAAGTGTATAAATGTATTCATATTAGTTTTTAGTACTCATATCACAAACTCTTGCCCAGAGTTGTAATCATTATTGCAAAGAATGCTCTTTTGATCATTGTATTTATATATGACTGCCCTATTGTAATTCTAATTATATGTGTAACATAATGTATATTATAATTAGTTCTATTTACTGTATATTGCATATAGAGTATATAGAGTGTTTTTCTTCATTTAAATGTTGTCCTATATATTGTGTTGCATGTTTAATAAAAATAGTACTGTTATATATAAAAATCTGATACCGAGTATATTTATTTATATATTGCTCACATTTTGTTCACAGTATTATTTATACCACAGCGATATGTATTGGGTATTTTGGGATTATTTGCTCTTGCAAATTCTTTTACAATGCGCGTATGCCTCAGTATGACAATAACTCAAATGGTGGTACACACACCTCCATCTGAACATATTATTGGTGAAACCTGCCCAGATACATCCGCAAGCAGTAACCACACAATTGGAAACGCCACAATAATTTATGCGGTAAGATTTGTATATTTTCCTATTAATATAGAATTTATAGCAATATTAACTTCAGTTTTAACAGGTAGCAAACGCACCTTGACGTAGCCACTCATCTGATTCACAAGCCAAAGTTGATATGTGTACTAGAATCTAACATGACAGGAAACGAGTCCACTGGCCTTTCTCTGGTCAATTTCATCTGTTATCGGTGTTTCACCGTTTATAAATCAAACCATGATGATGATTAGCAATAATGAAGTAGATAAACTAACTTATTACTTTTAGGGTTAAATCAGTAAAACAGTAGGGCACGACGCTTCCAATGAAAAAATTTGTGAAAATATACACATGTTAACCAAAGTAACATAAAAAAGAAAACTGCGTTACTTTTTGTAGCCGGTGTTGTTACTCTACACTCATAAAAAGACCACTCAGTAAAAAAAAAACTACTCGTTTTTTAGTTTTCTTTATCATGGTCTGTCATTAGATCGCTGGAAAAGAGTAGTGTGATTACCACTTTGAACACAAGATACAAATTAGTACTCTATAAGTAGGTACTTAAAGCAAATGACTGTTATTAGAAGTACGTAAACACGGCGAAAATACAGGAAAAAGAAATCGGAGACACAAAAACAATTCAGCAAAACAACTAGGGAGCAGACTGATGCTGGTAAGATTGTATGTACTCAGTTATTTAAGGTAACGAGGACATAAAAGTTCAGCCATAGGTAAATGTGGAATATAGCAAACAATAAAAATGAAACTACGTAGAATTTCATCGAGGTTAATAAAAAAGCGACATATGTATAGTCGTGAAAAACATTGTGAAGATTTTTCATTCTGTAATGTAAACTATTAGTCAAGACTCATTATTTTTCTTTACTTTAGTCCTGGCTGTAATTATGTACATAAATAATAATTAAAAGAGACTCATAGGTAATTCATATTAATATGATATTCTTTTTTAAGTTACTGGAATGGTGAAATGAACCTGACGGTCAGTACTCAGAAAAAAAGCAACTTTTGCCTATATAAATATGTCTATTCATATGAATTGACATCACGTCGTCATAGTATCACTTATACTCATTCTTGAACGAATGTGTTATGCCTATATAGAGTATGGAGGTAATTTCATTGCGATTTTTCACACTTAAAATCAAAATGTAGGTTGTAAAGGGTGTTGTTTCACGGCAGGAATAGGCTAATATAGGGACACAGTTGACCAGGCAGCGATCTCTCTTATTTGCTATTTTATTTACCTACCTTGGCAAAATCATTTATCAAAATCAATTTACCTCACAGCTATCATTTCAAGTATAAATATTTACAGGGTCGAGAAAGATACGACTGGAGTGAAGCCACACAAGGTTTTCTACTAAGCGCTTTCTACTACGGCTATGTACTTACACACTTGCCTGGAGGCATTTTAGCAGAAAAATTTGGTGGAAAATGGACTGTTGGAGTAGGGTTGCTGTGTACTTCCTTGGCAACTATTCTCACTCCATGGGCAGTCAGTTTTGGTGGAGCGACAGGATTATTCATTATTAGAGTAATTGAAGGTGCTGGAGAGGTAAGTTTTATAACTACATAATATTATGTATTGGTTTTTGTATTACATATAATATATGTTTAGAATATCAGAACCACCTATGAAATATCATCCAAATCATGCATTCATCAATAGACGTATATTAATCATACACTCGTATGAATATTAAGATGATACTGCTCAGATGTTTTTTATTACCTGTCGATGTAATGGTGAACATATGTATTTTTATGTGTATGTTAAACGTAGCAGAGGGCGACTACCGCCGTCTCTGGGGTTATTTTAATATTAACGGCGTATCCATTACAGAAATATAAATCGCCACGATTTTTTTCCTCATTCTCCTCCAAATTATTTATATTTAAGTAACGAAATATTTTTACATTATCATCAAGAATATTAAAGGAAGGTATCCAATATTCTTGTGAAGAAGGAAGTAGAACTGATATGCAAGCAACTTTTTCATGTATACCACTATCTTACGTATTTCATGTCATAAAGTAAGTTCAGTGACTCGACGTCTGAATGACAAGGTTAGGTAACTTCAATATAAATTTGTTTCGATATCGCAACATGTATGTACTTTGTTTGCCAATATTTTAGTTTATTTAGGTTATGGAGGTTAAGTGCCTCTAGTTCTATCTTTTATAAATTTAAAATTGAAGATAAAGAGGGTTAGTCATTTATTTATTCTTTTTAACAAAAAATTGTATACATGCCTGACTTAACGCCTAAGAGTCGGAGATGATATTATAGTGCAAGAGGGAAGTTTCCAATGTATTAACAATGAGACCACTGATTTAATAGGTATCAATGAAGAGACAATTTTAGATATTGGGAATTTTAATAAGAAACAGAGAATACCATATTTTTTTATATTACATAATTATAGTACATACTGACAATAAGTAAAAACATTATTGTACATTTTTTTAGTAAAATTTTGATAGTATACTTTATTTTCGTATGTTTCTGCCTGTGTGCCTTGAAACTAATTAAATTATAGAACAATAATCATTAGAAAATTAATTCCGTAAAAAGTGCTTGTCAATTTATAATTTAGCAGGAAACAGTAAGATCTTGATAATTATTGTCCTTCCTTTCATTTGTTTAGTTACTATTGCACTCGTATAATCCATTGTTTTCCGTCCATTGTTTATATAATTCTTATGCAATACTATGAATTTTATACACCATAATTTCAAAACTATTTTCTTCCAATAAAAAAAGGAATTTATATCTTTCAAAATGGAACTAAACTTTGACGTCAGTCTATGGATACGTATGGATACGTATATACGTAAATTTCGATATGCCTATATTACAATAGGCATATCGAAATTTGGAAAATAATAAGATTGTTGTGAAGTATTTTCCTTGTAAAAAGCCTTATTATAAAATTGAAGAATTTATAAATGATAATAATTTTTTTGTAGAAAATATCTAACTTAAAATTCAAACCGCTGACAATGCTATCTGATTGAACAGAGATTAAGTGCGTAGCGGTTTCTATGTTGATCATCGCATGCCTAATCCTTGTTAATGTAAATATAATTAAATCAATATTTATTTAAAAGAGCAATACACAAGTTTCTTTCTTATTCTTGTTGTGATGAATCTGCATTCCGAATGAGCGGTAGAATCAAAAAACTTGACTATTCAAAAGTGCTTAAATTAAGTTTATTTGAATAAAGATTATTTCTATTTCTATTAATATTGATAATAAAAAATTGAGAAATTTGTCTATAAATATTTCTCTGTATTAAACGAAGTAATTGATATTCTATTATATTAAAACAATAAAGACTATATATTCATATGAATATATATGAAATGAATTAATTGTAATGGACTTTTTTGTATTTTAGGGTCCCGTAACCCCTGGATTCGTGTTACTATTAGCACGATGGGTTCCCCCATCGGAGAGATCAACGTTTGGTGCCATGATATTTGGAGGTGCACAAATAGGAAATATATTTGGTCCATATATATCTGGCCTTCTTTTAGCCAATGGCGGTGACTGGGCTAACGTCTTTTATGTTTTTGGCACATTAGGAGTTTTATGGTTTTTATTTTGGGTAAGAAAAATGTGTTTTCTTTATATATTTTAAAATCTAATAATGATATGTGTTTTATTAGCCGCTTTTGGCTAGTATGAATAGCGTAATATACAGAGTACACCTATCTAATTTTACTAATTAATGCAGCGCTTGTGAAGACTACTAATCAACTACATACAAACTTATGAAAGTACTGCTTTATAACTGAAGTAGTAAATAAACTGATGACGAATTTGATGTAGCAATAATGACAGTGAAATTACAATACTGGAGAATAACAATGTGATGTCATTGTTGTTACAGTTGCTAATGTTATTATAAACTTGGTCAATCTAGTTACACAAACCAAAAAAATATTAGTTTCAGTGTATGAAAAACTGTTTCAGATAATTTTATGCTATAGTACTCCAAACACACATCCTTTCATATGTGATGAAGAAAGAGACTATTTGAATGGAAACATTACAGCTTCTGGTCTTCATAAGAAGTTGAATCCTGTACCTTTCAAGGCTATTTTACGATCTAGACCATTGTGGGTGTTGGTAATGGCAGCTGTAAGTATATTAATAGTTCTTATATATTACTGAATTAAAATTGTTATCTATATGACTTAGCATGTTTAGTAGTATCATAGATTTAATTTATAAATGATTTAATTACTGGTTAGGAAGTATTAAGTTTATTGAATGAGAGCATATTTTAATTTATTATATAATATGTGATGATTTAAATAAATGAACTGTGAAATATGAAATAAATATTAAAATAAATTAAAATGAAATTATTATTGTTCACGTCTATTAGCAATTTCTTTTTCTATTGTTGTGACTTACAGTTTTTATATTAGATATTAAAAATAGCCTAGTAGAGGTAATTGTCTCATATAGAGGAAGATTAGTTAAATGTGATATTAAATATTAATTAATTATTACAGCTATGATACCGCTACTCGGTCTAGTTACCTATTTCTAAGTATTCGAATTAAAGTATTAATAAGTTATTTAAATTAAAACCTAATAATTGCTTTGTATACGGCTATATATTGGATTGAAATAAATAGATACAACCTTAGTATTCAGAAACTGCAACGCGTAAGGCACCCTCTGTAATACTTATATGGTACCGATACCTAATTTCGTTTGTATTACATATATTTAGGTGACAGTTACCACGAAGCTATAAACTGGTATCTACATAGTATAAAATCCGCTTACTATTAAAAATACTAAAAAAATACGCTTGCAAACGAAATCACAATGTCCTGTATAGGGTAAGTTGATTGTTGCGGTTGTGAACGTAGGTAATATTTGATTTGGTCACGTTTTGCTGACTATATTTAAATCTAACCCTGGCTAGTAGGTACTACCGGTTTTCGGATTCCTTCTAATCGAATCGGTTATACATCGAACTTAAAAAATCGGAAATTTAATTATAAATCGTAAATTTTCAAATCGTCATTATGTACATAAATAAAACAATTTCTTATTTTTTAAAATCAAAGGGACCTTTTGAAAACTATTTTACTTATAGACCAAGTTCCATCAAGAAACTGAAATTGTAACAGCGTTAATCATGTCAAAATGTAATTTAAATTAAACCAAAAAGTTTCAATTTGTTCTAGATCACATTATTATGGTATTTGATATACTCTTCATAGCTATGAAATAAATTTCTTATTTTCAGATTGGTCACGACTGGGGATATTTCACAATGATCACAGATCTCCCCAAATATTTTTCGGATGTACTTAAATTTAATATAAAAGAGACGGGTCTGATGTCGGCACTTCCATATATTGCTATGTATATTTTTTCATTTGTATTTGCAAGTTTATGTGATCTATGCATAAAAAAGAAGTGGCATAGTATTGGTACTGGCAGAAAAATTTACACAACGCTATGTAAGTAATGTACAAAGTATAGAAAAATATTAATTGTTTAGAATCATATTTTTTTTTGTAAAGAGAATTTCTATCAATGAGAAACATTGCAAAGTCATCTCAATTTTTATATATTTATTATTTGTATTTTACAAAAAAAAAAAAATATTTTACACTAATTGTCGGTGATTGAGAAAGAATTAGTATCATTTTAGTAATCCCTAACAGTAATCTTATTGCTAATTCAATGTATAGGCTGTGTAGTGAAAAAATAACCGACTATATAGCCACTTGATTTAATTTTTCCTTTAACTCTATCACAGTTAAGGACATTTTTTGCAGCTTCTTCCGTACCGGCTGTTTTTATTATTCTGGCCTCGTACTCGGGTTGTAATCGACTTGCGGCTGTCGCTTTATTCGTCGCTTCCATGGCGTTCATGGGAGGATTTTACAGTAGCGTCAAAATTAATGCTATGGATATTGCTCCCAACTATGCAGGCACGTGTTCCGCCTTCGTCAATGGTATTGCAGCTATCTCTGGGATAATAACGCCTTATCTTGTTGGTTTATTGACACCTGACGTAAGTAAATACATGTAAGATATTCTACTTAGTACTAAGAACACACTGTTGAGAGATTGATAATGTCTATATATCTAATCAATCGATCAATATGGGGTTAAAACTTTTTGTTTATACCTATACAATTTTTATCGTTAACAAAAAGTGTAACGTTTTTTATGAATAAAGATATGATAATCGGAAGGACTTTGGAGTTAATGGATGAACAAGCCAGTTTCAAAATACTAATTTAATCAACAAGTGAACCAAATAATGTATACGGAAACGAATTTCTACAGTCACGAATTCTAACAAAAAATAATTTAACCATTAACAGAGTCGTATTGGTCGAGGTCAGGAGATATTTTATTTTCTCTAAATTAGTAGTCATATAGGAAAAGATAAGAAAAATACGTAACTTATAATATACATAGATATGTACGAAAGCGTTAAGATATTTCATATACTATCTAGTCGACAAACTAAGTATTGCGTTAGAGGGCAGAAGACAACTATAAGGCTTTCAGTTACTTGGATATTTCTGCCAGCCCGGCATTGAGATGGCATGAAGATAATAGATACGGTAGTAATTACTCAGACAGTCGGAATGATTTTATGTCGTACAAATTACGAAGCTAGGGCAAATAGTAACAAATTAATTAAATTAACAAACTCTAACGTCATGATGTCGAAAAAGTCGATAATGAAATAGTAGCACAAATAGGGCAAAAATCAAGGTTCTAGGACAGTTTAGACAATGGTTTATAATACGATTAGTCTGTTGGGATACGTATAAGGAACGCAACGCGCACGTGACACCCTTGGTGTTTCAGGTCCATATAACTGTTTAACATCAGATTGCCCATAAGATTGTTTGCCACCTACATAGTATAAAAAAGATAGAATAAATAAGGAATATTGGTTACCATTTATTAATGGCATGGCAATGGCAATGGCAATACAAAGTTCATTTTTCATAATTGATTAATATTTTTACCACATGAATGACTTGAATTATTCCAAACTGTATGTACATTAGTCTTAAGTCACAAGGAAATAATAATATTCCGTTGTAATGTGAAATGATGAAGCAGTAATTATTAGTCTTTGGATTATTTTAATGGCTTCAAACGTTGTCAGTTAGTAGGTACTTACAAGTATAAGATAAGAATTTGTTTTACAATACACTGTGTATTTTGCCTTCCGATACATAAACGTCAGTAACTTAATTGAGTACAATAGAATTTTCAATAAAAAATTGAAATATATATAACACATTTATTCATACAGGACCTTCCGGCCTCTTAGGCAAGTTATAATTTTTTATTACTATCCCTACTGTTCTAGTTTGGCTAGCTACTTCTGTTGATAAAAACTGGTAAGAAACTCGACCAGTGAAAAGATAACTTAAATGTAATGTAACTTAAAAAAATGTTACTACTACTAAGTTCAGACTTTAAAAAGATAGCATAGCGTTCAAATTGTGTATATGTCTAACATACGATGTCTCGTATACAAAATGTTTTATTTCCATATTGTATTGGCGTTACTAGTTCAGAAAATCGTTGCGTGATCGACTAATACCATGCAAAGATATCTCCTCATAATGAAAGAATTATCATCATCATTCTACAATAGATTCACCTAAGACATTGCATTAAGGAACAAATCATTCCAAGTAATTTTTTCCTCACTCTTAAGGAAAGAATCCCATCATAACTTCGGAAACATGAATATCTATCTATTACGGCATATCTTCAGAGATTTTTGTGGTAGTGGTTTAGCAAACCACCTCATTTCAATTGTCACAAGTTCAATTCTCGCCATCGTATGCAATTATTATGTGTGTGGCCTAAGTCATTTCTATTTATATTATGTATATTTATAGTTAACTAAGCGTGTGTGAATTATCCTGGGTCATTATTGTTTATATATACTTATGTATAACCTTAACAGTGCGAGATCATATTACAACGCCTTCCATTGCTATCTGAGAACGTGCTGCAGTGCCGTTGCTTTATGATTTACAATAGGCGCTAATAGGATTTTGGAATCTTATTTAGATTAGATTTAGAAATGTGTTAAATTACTTATTTTTCTTAAGTTCAATTATGAAAGATTACAAAATATGAAACTTATAATGCATTCTGAAAGATGTGTCATGTCAGATGCAACTGAAACTCTAAATATCAGTCAAGCTTTCATTCATTTATCTCTTGTACCGTATATTTCTACTACTTTGAACATATACATAGGTCGAAAATGTAATAACAATGGTTCAGATCCGGTTTTCTCAAACTATTAATGTTCCTATTAATGTTTCCAGAAGACAGTTAAGGAATTTTAACAAACTAATTAAATACCCTACAACATTTTATTTCAAACCCCAAATAAAATAATATAATTGACTGTTGAAGAAAATAGGGTTTTAATTGCTGTGCCCAAAAAAAATATTTTTAAAATGATTGTGATAGATGGGCTTGTCGTAAATTGAGTCAATTTAAAGATTCATTTTGGACGGTCGAATAAAGACCATTTTTGTATTTTGTTTTTATCATGACCAGGTGTGAAAACCGTGTCTCACATAAGTATGTTGTAGCAATGGGTTAAAGGATTCGTTGTTTTGTGTGAGAGTTCAGGGTACTCTTCCTATCTAGTCTTCGTACCTGCTAGTCATCAAGCCACCATTACTTAAATTTTGTCGCGAACCCCATCGAATGACGAATTCGCGTAACTCACTTTGAGAAACCCTGGTCCTGATGGTAGAAAATTTAAAAATGCCAGTGAGATCAGTTATCTACATAGCACAGGATTGTACAGGATGTAGAGATATATGTAGTGAGGAGATTACGTCCGTGCCACGATCCTTAAGAGCTATGAACCGCGTTTAGTAGTAGTAGTAGGTAATATATTATTATTTAAAAATAAAAGCAAATAAATATTGAAACAGATTGTTAAAGAACCACTAATTAATGTAATTAACTTTATTTTATTTTAAATTCATAAATTTGTTTTTCAGCAAACAATTGAACAATGGCGCATAGCATTTTGGACTGTATTTGCTGTGTTAGTTGGGACCAATATCGTGTATGTTATTTGGGGGTCCGGTGAACAACAATGGTGGGATGATGTGGACAAGTTCGGGTACCCATCTAATTGGAAACACGGTCCACTTGCAAAACGTACTCCAGCTCTGAATACAGAAAAAAAAGTTGTGTATCCAAAACATGATCACTCACCAGTCACAATTGATTAAAATAAAATAAGAATAAACATTTTTTTTATTACCATTACGAACCTATCTATTATATAATATCTATCTACTACTTAATGTAGTGTTATAGGTTATTCAAATATAAGAAATTAAAAATAATTAATATAATTAAAAAAAAAAAATCCATATGAATGCCAAATAGCATATGATTCTCTGAAAGCATTAAGTACAAGTCCTATATTGAACGTTCAAGTAGTCCTATACGAACTTAAAAGTACGTATGATATTGGTAGAAGTTAAACAATTCTCATATATATATTAATGGTTTCAATAACATTACTGTCTACAAAATGAATTGTTCTACACCAAAAATTTAAGTCTTTCGTTTACCCCTTAATAATTTTTAATTGAACATTAAATTTAGAATACATTTTATTGCTGTGAACGAGATACAAGTTAACCACTTATAACCAGTTATCAAGACTATGTTTAGCATTGAAACTTAAATTAGACTGTTTTAGTAGGTATAAGTATATCGCGTATATTTTAGTAGCCACTTCTCTAAGAAATATCTAAGTAGGTTTTATTTGTACAGTGTTAATAAGTAAAATACCTATAAAATAAACCTGAACATGTTCTCTCAATGAATAAGAAAAGTACATATTTACATTTCACATTTACATAATACGTAGAAAATGATACAGATGAGTACTACACAAAATACTTAAATGTAAAATGTTCATATTGTACGGTAACCGAACCCATGAACAATGGTATATGAGACAGTATGCTAATCATCCAGACCACTGAGATTACTTCATATGTAGTTTTATCCATACTGATATTATACATTCGAAAACGATTCTGTTTATTTATTATTATTACTATTTCACGATTAAATAGCTGACTAAGATCTTAATGAAATTTTATACGAAGAGTATAAACGAGGACGAAAGCTCCTTTTCATTTCAATTTATATCTGGAAGAGGGTAATATAGTGAGTGAAACTTTGTGCAGGCGAAGTCGCGAGCTAACAGCTAGTAGTTAGTAAGTAATTAAGTTATCTAATTTAATATATCTAATATAATCATAAATACTAAATATTATTATAAATACTAAAGTTCTAACTTTAGTATACATTCTAATGTATGTTTGTTATATTTACATGCATTATATTTTACATCTGATGTTGTGATTTATTAATGCTAATCATATTATAAAGAATGTTTTATTTAATTAAACGAATTCGTCATCATTATCACAAATATCTATTTTTATTGAAATTTCCGTGAGTATTCTGAAAACTTTTCAATTTACATATAACTAACAACTTTTCGCTATATAGTCTGCTTTTTTGAGATATCACACATAGTCTACGTTCATATTTTTATGTTTACATTAAAATTACTTTAACGCGTTTAGATATTAATCATAAAATCGTAACAAACATCTATATGCTACATATTTCCCAAATTATAATCTTAGTATGGATACCTATATATCAATATGTATATAATAAATATATAAAAAAATGTATAGTCAAATATGAATAGTCACTTTTTCAGTCTACAATACTAGGAATTAAAATATATCATTAAATTGAGTAATTTACTACAGTCTACCTGTTATCAGGGCGGTTGAAACACTGCTGAAATACCGGGAACTCAATAATAATGAAACGTGGTAAGGTGCCGTGAATAAATAGTTATTATTTAAACTAATTATATCATTATTACAAATAACTGTTTGTTACTTTTTACGACAAATCTGCTGAACGGTATTCATGTGGGAATGAGGATTCGCGAATAACAGGATGATTATTTTATAGAACTCCTTTTATTTAAATTAAAAAAAAAAAACATTTACTATGATACATGAAACGACCTAACTATATGGCAGTCTACGAGGAAGAGAGCGATGCCCATCCTCTTTTTCCATTCATTCCTTTCTCCATCCATTCACTCTTTCGTTTCTATCCATTTGCTCCTCTGTTTCCATTCATTCATACTCATTGTTATTCGTTCATACCAAGTTTCAAATAACTGCCATACATTGGAGCCTGACATCAGGGTCCGTCTTTTCTACAATTCCTCTAACACACTCTTTTCATACATATACTACACACTAAAGCAAAATATAGAATGAAAATACAACTAAACACCTTAAATTAAAACATGACCCTTCTTATAACATAGTTACACAACTTTAACATATTACACAGTACAAAAAATAATAATAATACACAAAGAAAAAAAAATACAACTGGTACAGTACCTATATCCTATAATCAAATACAATATAAATAAGTATAAAATAGGTACAATCAAATAATCCTTTATCTTCACCATAAGCTAATACTGCGCGCGCGCAGCCATCAACTTAATTTGAAAATTACAATAATTTCAAGTAAATGAGTTTCAAGAACTAACCTCTGGCCACCTCTTCATATAGTCTGATGAAATACGTATCATAGGTCCCTCAGAAGCAATATCGACCTTCAGTACATCAAAGTCTCTGCCATTGACTTTAAAAACTTTATAAGGTCCTAAATACCTTTGCTTTAATTTCATATTAGTACCAAATTGGGTTCTCTTGATTACTACATAGTCACCAATATTATGTTTAAGGCTTTCCTTGCGTTTTTTATATATTTAGATTTTCATCTTGTACTTTTAAAATTTGTATCTTAGCCTGTTCTCTCGTTTTATCTATTTGTCACAAATTCGTCTCTACTTTCTTCTAGTAATAAACTAAAAATATTTAAATCCTCTTTTGTTTCATTTTTACACCCACCATTAACTCAAAAAAGGACTGGTTCCTATACTTCTTTGATAAGTACTATTTATATATTTGAACTCTACTCACATGCTTATACCACTGACTTTTATCCTCTATGCACAGTTTCGTTAAGACTGACATAAAGTACGATGAATCCTTTCTACCTGCCCATTTCCTCTGGGTACTCCATGGTGATAACAATATGTTGGATATTCTCATCTTTACAATAGTCATCAAACTCCTTGCTAGTAAAAGCTCATCCTCTATCTGATATTTCGATCTGGGTTTCCAAAAGTCTGCTGATGAATAAGTAACTTACTTAATGTCTCCTTAGTATATTGTCTTCACTGGAAAGAGCCAAACAAACTTTGTAAATGCGTCTACAATTGTTATATAATTATACAATTTTGAAGTCTCTACTATGTGATCAATATGCAATGTACTAAGTGGGATAATGCCCTTCTCTATGGAATTAAGAAAACCTTCTTGTTTTCCTTCTTTCTTCGTTGCCAACAAACATAAAACGCAGGTTACAAGGAAGTTATCTATTTTAGAAGATAAATCTTTTATATAATAATCTACATTTAACATTTCTAACATCTTTTTCTTGCCAAAATGACCATTCGAGTGAATTGTTTTAATAATTTCCATTTCTAATCCCTTGGGAATAAGTATTTGTCCTTGATCACCCTTGTATATGATTCCATTCATAATAATCTTTGTCTCCTTAATTATATCTGAAAGCCTTTATACCCTCATCTAGTTCCTGTGCTCTCCTGATTTGATCATGTAACCCTCTGGTAACAACAGTAACATAAGGATTGCGGCTAAGAGCATCAACATGCCGCATCTGATTCCCTTTTCTATGCTCCACCTCATAATCTACTCTTGTAATAACAATACCATCTTGCAACTCTAGTTGATAAATCCTTCTTTTTTAATGTCATTTCAAATGCTAAGCAATCAGTAACAATCTTAAATTTTATGCCAAGTAAATATTTCCTGAATTTTTTAACACCCTCTATTATGGCTAATGCCTCCAGCTCATAACTTGTGTATTTCTGCTCTGCATCTGAGGTTTTAACTTAGGTAGTACACATGTAAACTCCCATCATTAGAATCCTTTTGAAATAATATTGCTGAATAAGCCATGATAGATGCATCTGTATGCAATTGGTATCGAGTCCTGGGTTATATAATTTTAATACTGGATTTTCAGACAACAACTTCTTTAACAATTTGAATGCAATCTCCTGTTTTTCACTGAAAATAAAATCATTATTCTTCTTTAATAAGTCTGTTAATGGTCGTGCTATAGAAGCATACCCTTCAATAAATTTTCTAAAATAGGATGTATAATGAAACTTTGAATCTGTTTTACCGACTTAGGTTGCGGATACTTTAAAACTGCTTACTTTGTCTCTACACGGTTTTATTTCTCCATTTTCAATTTCATAACCAAGATATTCCACCTTTTTAGTCAATAAGTCACTTTTTCTCCAATTTATATGTAATCCATATTCAGAAGCTAATTTTAAAACTTCACGAAGTCGATCTAAATCATATGTGTATATAATATTATTAATATCCAATAAAAATTAATAGAAACAAATATCCCTTTGCTATAAGCTCTCTGAAAATAATAGTGATAAAACGTGTGAAATAATTCGGACATATGGACAAACCAAAAGGTGCTCTCATAAACTCATATTGACCATTCTGTGTCACAAAAGATGTATACTTTGTACAGTTACTATTTATTTTGAGATGAAAAAAGCGTCTTTGAGATCCAATTTACTAAAAATCGTGTATCCAGAAAGCTTATCTAAATGATCTTCAATGATTGGTAGAGGAAACTCATCCCTAACAATTTTTTTATTTATTTTACGGTAATCAACACAGACTCTTATACTACCATCTTTTTTTGTAACTAATACTAATGGGCTTGCATACTCTGAAAAGCTAGGTTTAATAATACCATTTTGTAACCACTCACCAATTTGGTTTATCAACTGCTTCTTGTTCCTTACAGGCTAGTCTACGCGGCCGCTGTGCCACCGGCACATCGTCGTTCAGGATAATCTGCATTTCAAATGGTGCCTCCTTGGTTTGTAAGGGCTTATATTGATCCACTATAAGCTGAGCTGTCTCCATAATCTGAGGATTTGGTACATAACTAACCGGTTTGTCATCTGTAAACAAACAATGCACATTCCTCGAAACTACATTTACCACACCTTTATCGAAAATAACTACCGCATTTTCCAAAAATGGTTGACCTAGGATCACTTTGTAAGGCATTGCATTTGTTGGTACAATATAAAACAATAATTCAAAATAACAATCATCAATTTTTAGTACTGTTTGAAATTTTCCTATAGAGTAAACAGTCGACAATCCCAGTCCGTGCAACACTATCTTTTCTTTATTATAGGCACTCACATTTAGTTCGAAAAATACATCTGCCGACACCAGATTTACGTCACTCCCCGAATCAATTAAACATTCGATTATTACGCCATTTATCTCCAATGTTTTGATTGAACTATTTCGCTTCGTATTCATGACGGTTTCAAATTGACAGTTCCCGAGCGAATGACATCTGTCACCACTGTCAACATTGCTGCCACTACGCACGTCGCCATTTTCTATGTTCGCGTCTATGTTCACACCGTTCACACACATTGATCGTCGTTCCGGTCGGTCTTCCGCTCCCGTCGTAGGTGAAGTGATTGAGATGCACTTATTGTCATTCCCAATCGTATTTGAATTTCTTTCGACAAATGCAGCTCTGCAGTTCGACGAAATATGGCCGTATGAATGACATTTGTAACACTTAACTCCTTTCGAACATGTTGTCGCAATATGACCATTTTCACCACATTTGTAGCATTTTCTGCTGTCTCTGTAATGTTCTTTCGTTACTATGGGTTTTCTTTCCCTTGTAGTTACGTACATCTTTTTCTTCATGGATTCGTATATCACTAATTTTTCTTTTAACGAGGCATAGGTAGTGACCCCGTACAACATGACCTTGTTTATCTCATCATCTATAATACCGTCTGTTATGTACTGAATAACACAATAATCAGGTAACTTGCCGCGCTTGCCCAACTCCTTCATTATCAGCATATATTCATAACAACTTTCGTTTTTTCCTTTTTTCCTGTTGGATAAGATTTCGTGCAGCTCTTTCAAATTTATGCTATCAGGAAACTCCTTCATAATAGCACATTTTAAGTCGTCATAAGTTTTGAATGGTTTCTCCGACTTTAACCATAGTAATGCGTTTCCGGCTAACGATCTCCTCGCCAAAATTAATTGCTGTGTAGCACTCCAACCAAATATTTCCGCGTTCTCTTCTATCTCCTGCGCCCACCTCGCCGCCGTTATAGTCTTATCGGTCCCGTTGAATACCGGTAAAGTTTCAACTGGATGCCACGCCGCCTCGCGAAATGCACGTTCCATCTTATTTTCGTCTTTAGACATTCTTTTTGTAATTTAATATAATCTTTAAATACGACGTGTCCACCTCGACATTCGTATTCTTCGTCCGCGTCACCGTCTGTACCGCGCCGCAATTCGGGTACTTCCGTCTTCCATAAAAATCCGTTAACATCCAAGTAATCTTTGATCCTCTATCCCGGACGAGCCCCCAAAATTGTGGGAATGAGGATTCGCGAATAACAGGATGATTATTTTATAGAACTCCTTTTATTTAAATTACAAAAAAAAACATTTACTATGATACATGAAACGACCTAACTATATGGCAGTCTACGAGGAAGAGAGCGATGCCCATCCTCTTTTTCCATTCATTCCTTTCTCCATCCATTCACTCTTTCGTTTCTATCCATTTGCTCCTCTGTTTCCATTCATTCATACTCATTCGTTCCCATTCGTTCATACCGCCAAGTTTCAAATCCTACATTCATATAAATTATTAGCTTGTTTTTTTATTAAATGTAAAGAAATCAGACATTATATAAAATCGAATTCAAAGTAATAATAATAATAATCTTAGGACAATTCACGCAGCGGCATCTAGACCCAGGTTAAGCTAGCTAAAACTTGTGTTATGGGTACTAATAGATAACTGATACGAATACATAGATCTTTTTTGTAAAAAAATCATATATATTATACATAGAAAATTCCTAGACCGATACAAACAATCATACTCATAAATACAAATGTTTGTGCCGTGCGAGGAATCGAATTCGCGACCATCGGACGTAAAGCGGTGAATGCAATGTCTATTATTTATCCCACACTACACTTATAATAAGTATTTGTAATCGTCTTTAGCGGGACAATGTCAGATTGCGCGCGCGCAGTTCATGCATCGATAGTCGACCGTTCGCGGCTCGACAGTCACACGTGTCGAGTCGAAATATTATTCTAGTTTAATTCAGTGATAAATATATTAATTAAAAAAAATATTGTGGAAGGTTAAAGCAAATAGAACGTGACCAATACTAAGAAGTGAGTAATTTATTTATTTTTTTATTACTAAATTAATATGTTATGTATATAGAACGTCGCCTAAATATTTGATATGAAAAGTGAATGTATGTTTAACATATTTAGTTCGCATGTCCTTTACATTCTTCGAACGTTTTTATTATTATTAAATTCGCAATTGTTTCCGAGGTCATCAATCTTACCAACACCTTTATAGTAGATATTTAAATTGAATGTAATAAAAAAAAATTGCAAATAATACGTAATTATATATACGAGTACTTAGATAATTATATAACAATATTGTCATATTACTTTATAAGTGCACATTACATACCAATATATGAAAGTATGTTTGTCTGTAAATTTGTTGTCTGTTCACAACTGAACGTCTAAACTCATCTTATTGACATTTCAAGTGAAGATAGAATGTATCACTAGAACATGTATAATATACATATATTATTTAAGAACAGCAAACGAAGTCGCGGGACGGGTGACAGCTAGTAACTTATATATGTATTTTATATTCAGGTATATCATGTTTTACTGTACTATAAACAAACACTAAGTATATTGCGATAGTATAGGTCTTAGTAAACAATGTAATAAAATAATAAAAAAAATAATAAAAGATTGCTTGTAACTTTGCAGTGAAATATTAAAAATTATAGTAAGATTCGTCTTTAATATTACAAGCGTAAATAATGTATACTTAAATAGCTTGATTCATTTCACGCAAATAAATTCGTCGAATAACTAGTGTTCAATAATTATCACCTTTTATGTTCCTGAGTTATTGAGGTTCCTGGGTCGATTTTAGAACTGGGCCATTTGAGACACATCTACATTCTAGTCTGAGTATGATTCCATTGATTTAGATTATACCTTCTAACCTTATCGAAATTACCTTCTTATCATTATATATATGATTCTATGTCTATGCACTACATTTTAATAAATTATAGGATGGAAAGAAAAGTTACGGAAACCCTATTATTGCTGAAATACTAGTGATATAAAAATAGATATAATAATATATAAGATAAAATTTTAAGAAAGGTGTTATATAGGCAAAGGAAGTCCGAAAAATAGATAGATAAAATGTTGAAGATAATATGGTAGGAAATGGGAGTAAATAACTAGATGACTGCGAACAGGGAGTAATGGAAGTGAAAACATGTTACGCTGACACAATATAAATATGATAAGGAAGAAGCAGATGATGATGACTAATGATATAAAAATAGAATGAATAGTTGCCAAATTATTCATTCAGTATTATGAGTATTTTGATGAACATTTTCAAATATTAGTGAATATTTCAAAATGTTAGAAACCTTAAACTTTGAAAAATAACGAGTATATAATATTATAACTACTATCCTTAATAATAATTGCGACTTCAACAAATATCGATATATTTTTTCCATAAAAAGCTAATTTGGTATTATATTTCATAAAACACGCGTGTCGGAGTAAAAGATTTTCTTCGATCGATAAAAGTAAGTACCTAGTTAATCATTGGTATTATTACCATAGGTTGTAATTGAATTCATAAAAACGAAATTGATTAAGATTTAAGATAAATAACGTGAACTATTCTTATAGAAGATAATGGAATGCCTGCGCTAATGTTTACGTTTTGCGCAATGATCATGAGGTCAGGTCAATTAGCCCATAGTGGTAAATTCACTTTATCACGTGGCTACCCTGAAAACCATGTAAAGGTTAATCTGACATGGTACATTGCTAGTAATTGGGCTATTAGTCTACGTTACTAACAATCCCCTTCCCCCCGAACGAAATATTATTGGGGATTGATTAATGTAGGTGCATCAAAATGCTAAAAAAAGAAATAAAAACAAAAAAGAGGTATTTGTCCAGATTTATCTATACAATTCTTGTTGTCTTCTTTATATTATATGTAATTACAATAGCAACCACGGTCGTTAGACGGTGTCGGTGACACCACCACTTATGCCTTGCTATTCCGGAGGACTGAGTAATAATCGTGCAATTTCACTGGCTTATCTCATCCTTCATTCATAACATATATTGCAAAGCATGCTTGTTATGAATTGCGCGTTTACCGCTAAAAATAATTAATTTATCGTATCTCCTCAGTTTCAAGACACTCTCCTTGATGTCGAGGTCCTTGGAGTTGATATATCCAGTGACGTTCAGTTTTGCGGTCATTTGGAGGACAAGGCTAAAATAGCCTCAAAAAAGCTTGGTGTGCTCAGCAGAGTGAGACGGTATTTCACGGCGGCCCATCGCTTGCAATTATACAAGGCGCAGATCCGCCCGCATATGGAATATTGTTCTCATCTCTGGGCGGGAGCCAGCTACTTCCACTTGACCGCATTCAGAACTGAGCAGCCAGAATCATTTATAATCAATGTCTATGTGACAGACTCGACCCATTGGCTTTGCGGCGAGATATTGCATCTCTGTGCATTTTCTACCGCATATATCACGGGGAGTGTTCTGAGGAATTGTTCGGATTAATACCAGCTGCTGAGTTTCACCACCGTACCACCCGTCAGAAACTAAAATACCATTCTGATCATCTGGATGAACGGCGGTCCTCCACAGTGCGGTTTTCTAGAAACTTTTTGCCATGCACAACCACATTGTGGAATCACCTTCCAGCAATGGTATTTCGGAACCGATACGATATTGAAACCTTCAAGAAAAGAGCTTATTCCTTTTTAAAAGGCCGACAACGTACTTGCAATTCCCATGGTGTTGCGGGTGCTCATGGACGGCGGTATTGACTTACCATCAGGTGAGCCGCATGCTCGTTTGTCCCCTGTGTTATATAAAAAAAAGCTGTTTGTATGAAATACGTAGCCTTTTAACAAAGCCTACCCTGGTGAATAACAATGCAAAGACATATCACATGACCACAACCATATAAAGAAATATCAGATACAACTTGTGAAGAAACACATATTGAAGACAACTACACTATTTAAATAAAATAGATTATTTTATCATAAACAATAGGTTATTATTGCTATGGATAAGACATTGTTTTATACAAATCAGCAATATGCTATTACAGTAGATTGATATTACACTTGTAGTAGTCAGTATATATTTATTTACTATAAACTCGTTAGTCGGTGAAACGTTTGTATTACATCATATTGTCTGTTGTCGACAAATTTGAATGTTCTAGTATTTTATCGTTTATTCAATTAAGGTAGTGTTTTAGTATTAACGTAGTGGTTTGGTGGTTTACTACCAACTTAAATCAAAAGGTACTAAATTCGGATGTAGCCGACACCATAGAACTTTTTGGCAATTGATGGCGTAATATTTGCAATGTTTATGTATAAAGACGACGTTTACCATTTACAACAAAGTGGGGCATCTGCTTGTTTACTTATTCTAATTACATTGAAAAATTGCACCTCTAAAACGTACATGAGGTTACTAATATAAAGATTTTCTAATTTAGCTAATGAATAATTGTCAAAATATTCTAAACTAATAGTTAAATGATAATGCTCGTTTTAATGAATAACTAACTGTATATTATTTTATTTATAATATTTAGTATTAGTTTTTATACGTACCAGCAGCAGTGTTTTAGCAGTAATAATTCCTACAGTACAATACACACATTCTTTTCTTTTCAACTTCTTCTTCAAGCGTATGTTTGTAATATAGTACCAAATGATCAGAGATCGCGCAATAGTGTTGTCGTTTTTTTCCACAATAAATAAAATATCTATCAATAAAATCATCCGTAATTAACTAAATTGTTTACATGTTAAATTAGATATTAATTGAAGGTTTAAGTAGATTATATAAGTTATTAGTACATATATAGTTTATGAGTTTGATTGTTTATAATGAATTCATTGAAAGGTTTATTTTCCAATGCAATTTTTCCTTAAATAATCTTAAATTTAAATTTAAGAAAATTTACGAAATAAACAGAACAGACAGATTGGGTGAAATGTGATATTATATAATGAAATAGAATGAAAAGAGTAGTGCTTGCTATGTAGTATGACACACATATGTAGTTTCAGCAAATATCACATACTAATTTGTTAGGCGTATGTATATAATTTCAAATATTAAAAATAAGGAATTTATAAGTTAATACTGATTATGTTAAAATTTGGGAAAACTTTAAATAACAATCTATACCCATCCGTTCGGCTAGTGTGGTAATAGTAGATTAAAATCTTCCCCCTTCGTTCTTCTAACAACAACTGATGTCCTGCAATGAAATGTTATTAGGTAGTTATTTATTTATTATATGTTTATAGTATACATTTACATTTGAAATTCCCTGTAGTCAGTTTGTTCAACGTAGTTGATTCGTAACTAGAGAGTTAGGAATCAACTCTGGTCTCACATGTTATAGTCGTTTCTTCTATTATATTGTAAATTGGCTTATATTTGTATATTACGTTTAGTAATATTCGTAATAAAATTACTTAATTGTGCATTTAATAAATGGCAAATAGAAAATTACACGACTATTTAAATTTGTATGTGTAGATCTTCAATTTAAATTTAATTGATCCATCATTTATCCGTGGGGTCAAGTTGATCAAGATATAAATAATATCTATAAATAATAAAATGCATAACTAAGTAATAAAGACCAGTTCGTATAAAAATATTAAATGAACTTCATAATATTTGAATTAAATATGCTTCAAGTAGCATCTTATCTATAGTATGACTCATGTAATTGCGTATAAAAAAGATGTTCTAAAAAAGTCACGTAATTGTCAATGTTACGGATATTATTAGAAGGAGTGTAATATAATAAGAAAAATAATTGTTGTTAGGTTCAATATCTTGGTTTCTTTGGTAACATTTCAAGATATAAATGACTTACGTTTATGTACGTTAATTAAGAATAATATTTATATATTGATAATTTAAAATTTAAACTTAATTTAATATTCAGTCTCACAAATTAAATTATATTTATGTACATAAAACAGAAAAGCGATAAAATATTAATAGTTCTTTTAGCATAGCAT